GTACACATCACTGCTATAAAAAAATGCTTTTTCCACTCTAAATGTGTAGCTTTCTTTCTGATGTATTATTGATATACTGCATGATGAGCAGGCTGAAGAAGGTCATAGAAATTAATTTGTGATCTCTAAATAGCTCTTGTTACAATTCTTCTACAGAACAGCAAGGAGAAGAACATAAATCTAATGGTAAATCAAACACAAATATTTTCCTTTTATTTTACCACTGAAAATATATGTGCATGCTAGGAAATGGCTATTGAATTTCTTAGTGTAAAATCAGATCATTAAATGCAGGATGCTTTTGTTTGTTTCAAACCTAATTGCTCTAAAAATAGCTGCTGATGCATCATGAAAACACAAAAATATATTTGGCCCCTTTATTGTACAAGCACTGAAAGAATAAAAAGGAATATCTCGTGATCTTTCTATTATGAGGTTGGTAGGGTGTTTGTTTTTTTTGTAAGAAAAAGACTCATTAAAAATACTGTCAAAGTAGCTATTTCCAGGTAATTACACACCACACCGTCTTAATTATATGACAACTTAAATACTTAAGCAGTCAGATAATCTCAGAAAGATATTTTGAGACCTTAGTAAGGTAATTTCTGAAGTGATGTGTTGTGAAAGTGCTGTTTCCAACCGTACAGAGCTTTGTCAGGCTGCACAACGTGAAATCAAAGGAGTGACTGGTGGGTCATTCCTGCATCTATGTTATACTGTAATGTAGGGTATTTTGTTCTTCCATATATCTTAAAAATATTAGTTACCTCAGTGCTGCATTTTATTTTCCAGAACTTTTGAAAGCTCTTAGATCAATTGCATTAGAAAATGTCCTGTATTTATCATCATGAGATGTATAGCACTGACAACTGTCCAGTTTTATTTTTGACTCTGTAAATGCATCAGTATTTTGTTGTTTCTTATTAGCAATTGTTCTTAATACAAATCTTTCAGCATTTTTTCCTTTCTTCCCTGTTTCCCCCACTTTCACTGGCAAGATCTTCATCTGGGCTGTGACTGTTTATGATCTGAGTATCAATCCCACAATTTTTGTGATCTGTTTTTCTTTATTATTCTCAGATCATACCACCATGAGAGGGTTTACAGTTTATTAATCTTTTATTACTAGTAATTGTAAAGTTACTTAACACCTGCAAACATTGAAATATCTGCCAAAGCGTGGTCCATTTTAATTCCACACAACTCCATAGGATGTAAATGTTAATGATGGCCTGGTGAAGAAATAACCTGGTGCAAGTGACTGAGTTCCTCCAGCAGATTGTGTGACAGAAAATCCACTGTCCTGGATATAGACAGGAGTTCAGGTGTGTACTTCCCGTGTTGTCCTGGACACTGCCAGGCTTGCAGTGAACAGAGCTCAGGGCAGAGACACCTCTCTGTGAATGTGCAGTCTTGCACCTTGGCCCTGTGCCTGGTGGGACTGTGTTCCAGAAGCTGGTGTTTGCATCTGGAAAAAGCTGTGCCTTGGTGACAAGCAAAGGGATGCAGCCCCCTGGCACAGAGCTGTGCCCCTGGAGATACCCAGCCGTGATGGGCGTGCTTTGATTTTTGTCTCTGTGCCAAAAATGTGACGTGCAATCTCCTGCTGGCTGGGGTGTTCTGATCTTAGGTAAGACAGTTCCTTCTCATGCCTTCAGTTCTACCAGACCCTGGGGTGCACATATAAATGGGTTTGTTCAGCTCCAGTTAGAATTAGTTGAAGAGCTCAGTGTGAACTGATGGTACCATGGTCTGAAAGCCATTCTGAGATCTGCATTAGTGATTTAGGATGATTCCATTTAACCTTTTGGTTTTCTGTAACTAAGAAGTGTGAGAAGGAGAATCTTTTTTGTCCAAAGAATCAATAAAATATTTTCAAGACAACTGTCACTGCAAGATACTAAAATAATGACAGAAATAACTTTATATCAAAGGGCATAGATAGAAGTTGGTGGGTTTTTTTTTCTAATTGTGAATAATTTTGGTCATTTAAGTGTTTTTTACATCACTTTTCTTTAAAAATTTTGTTAATAATGAGTCAATAAGGGACAAAGTAATTTTTAGCAAATTAGGGGGGAGCTTAGGGATGAGCTGGCCCACAGGTTACTAGACACCTGTCAGCTGGTAGCCCATAGTGAAATAGGTATTAAGAAATCTTAACTAATAAGGATCTTAGGAATTCTGCCTTTATTCAGTTTTACCCAAGGAGAAAAGGTCTATAGAATCATACACAGTTAGAACACTGACAGATCATCTGGCCACTTTGGGATAAAATCAGCACTATACCTATCCTGCATTGCTTTTTAATTTGTGAACTGAAAATTCAAACTACTACCCTTGTTTCTTGTTTTTTAAATGGTCTTTTGTATGCCTTTCAATTGGTGGGCACAGAGTGACTGTACATTTTCTCTGCCAAGAACCACCTTTCTGTCATCTTTGGTACAATTGTTCAAACCAATTACTATATCAATAGGTAAATAAATGACTGGTTGGTGTGGGGTTTTATTGCTATTAGTCTCTGATCAGCTTAGAGAGAATGCTCCTGTTTCATTTCTGAAAGTAATCCAGCCAAATTTCATTGTTTTCCTCTAATATTATCTATGCTGTTTTCTTAAATGTCCTGTTAAGATTAAGAGTTCACCTTCCCTGGATACATACTAAAAAAAAGCTGCATAAATTAGTTGTAAGGCTGCATCAGGAATGTTTTTTACAGTAACACTGAAACCTCTCTCTCTGAAAATTATTAGACTGAAATATTGTACAGACATCTTTGCTTCTTCATGTCTTCATCATGTTGTTGGTCATTTACTTAATTACATAGCTTAATGAAGTTCTCATCCTATTGCCTTTTACCTGACAACCCAAAATTTTTAGTTATTAATATTCAAGTGCACATTCTTTATATTTTACATTTTTTTCAGTTTGCTCCTGTTAGTCCTCAGGGTCATCCAGTTCTTCCCATATATTGTCTTATTTTTTTCCCAGCTGATTTTAATAAAGTATTTCAACTTTGGTTCCAGTGCTTAATGGAAAATATTAAAATTGCTTACACAATCAAGCTAGTAATGATCTCCATTGAACATGATATGATCTTTTTCCCCACTGTCTTTTGCTATCTTCTCGTTCTCTCCAGAAACAACCACTTTCATTGGTTATTTCATCTGTGGCCCAGTGTCACTGTTTACTGAAACTGGCTGGACGTGACATGACTTAAAAAAATCAAAAATAAAAATCCTAAATCTACCAAACACTCCAAAATACATAGAAAAGGGTAGCAGGTTAATGCTGGGTAACCTGTGGTTTTGTCTTTATTGCAAACTGAAGGGAAACCACATGAAATCACCTGTGATCCTTTTCCCTCCTTTGCTGTGTGTGAGTCTCACTTTTTCCTGTGTTCTTGCTTCACACGTAAAGCTGAGCATGTCTTTATTTTCATGTCCTTTATGTGGTGTAGCACCTTTTGTGCTTTGTACCCTTTTGGACATATTTGGATATGCCTTTGCTTAGTAATATGTTTTCCTGCCTCTAGAAATGCATCTTTTGAGGGTGGTATTTACTGGAGTCTTTCCTTAAAACCTTTTTTAACTTGTTGGAGAAGTAATTTCCACTTTTGCTTTAAGGAAATTCCATTCAGAAACTCATTCAATTAATTGTCTCACCGTGCATTTTTTCCCAATGACCATTTCTTTTGCAATGATGCATGATGGTTGTTTAGCTCCTCCAAAACCACGTAGGAACTGTTGTGTGCTTGTGACTCTGTGGTGGCCGTGCAGCTCAGAAAGATCTTTACTGGTCAATCAGACTGGACTTTTCTGCTCCAGCATAGTGTTTTTGTAGCGGTTTGTCACTGACAGCACATAACCCTTGTCTATGCAGTGTTTTGAGCTGGAAGTGTTCTGGGTGTACACACTGACATTGATGAAAGGTCATCTCTGGCAAAGAGATACCTCTGGCCTTTGGCAGCTGCAAAGTCAGCAGCAAACGCTCAGGGTTTGTGCTGAATGAGAGCTTTCCCAAGGCTGTGCTGCTTCCTGTGCTGCCAGGACGTGAGACACCAGGTCACTGTGAGGAGCAGCTCCTTAGAGTGTGTGAGGACATGGATGGAGGCACATGGGACAGGCAGGCTCACCCGTGTCTAGGTCAGTGAGGGCATTGATGCATTGAGGGCAAATTAAATTCCTGTTTCTGAAGAGCAGAGATGCCACTTGTCGGCATTTCCTGCAGCTGCATCGGCCACTGGCTCGGGACAGGCAGTGGGACACCGCGAGACACCGCGGGCTGAGGGAGAGGCAACGCTGGGTGGGAAAACAGCGCTTTTGGACAAGGGGAAAGCACGGTCACAGAACGGGTCAGGCTGGAAGGGACCCCAGACGGTCACCTGGTCCCACCTCCCTGCTCAGGCAGGGCCATCCCAGAGCACGTGGCTCAGGATTGTGTCCACACGGTGTGAAGGAGACTCCACAGCCTCTCTGGTCTCTGCTCCAGTGCTCGATCACTGCACAGGAAAGGAGTTCTTCCTCATGTTCAGGTGGAATTTCAGCTCCTGCCCGCTGCCTCTTGTCTCACTGCTGGGCACGCCCGAGCAGAGCCCGGTCCGTCCTACGCTCCTCTCTGGATATTTATGGAGAATAGCGCCGATGCTGGAGCGGGGCTGCTGCCGCTCATCCCGTCCCGATCCGATCTCGTCCCCTGATCCCACCCCATCCGATCCCGTCCCCTATCCCATCCCTATCCCCCCCATCCCCTCGCTCCCATCCCTATCCCCCCCATCCCCTCGCTCCCATCCCTATCCCCCCCATCCCCTCGCTCCCATCCCTATCCCCCCCATCCCCTCGCTCCCTCTCCCCGCCCCGTTCCCTCCGCCCGGCAGGGGGCGCTTTGCGGGGGGCGTGGCTGGCGCGGCCACGGCTGCGCTTTGCGGTCGGCTGTAAAGCAGCGCCGGGTGTCGCGCGGTGCCGTGCTGCGCTGGGAGCGGCGGGGGCTGCGCCAGCAGCGCCGGGGCCCGCCCGGGGCAGCGCCGGGCCGGGAACAGCGCCGGGAACAGCGTGGGGGCTCCGCGGGGACAGCGCCGGGCTCGGCGGGGACAGCGCGGGGGTCGCTCCCCCAGCCTGGCCCTGCGCAGCGCGCCCGCGGCACCCGCCCCTTCCCCGTCGGCCTCGCTGTCTCAGGTACGGGGGGCGGCGGGGCCAGGCGGGGGCCCCTGATCCCCCCGATCCTCCCGGCCGCTCCCTGAGGGCGGCGGGGCCGGCGGGGCTTTTCGGAGGGGGCACTGCGCGCAGAACGTGTTTTTCGTTTTTTTTGAGGCGCCTCGCTGACGCACAAAGCGGTGCCTGCACCGCGGGCGGCCGCGGCTCTTGGGGTTTGTTTCGGAGCTGTCACGGATTTTCCGCGCGCGGAAATGGGTTTTTATTGCTGTGCGGAGCAGGGGTGGTTATGACGTCATTTGTTTTGTTGGCGAAGTTGGTGTTCCTTTAACCCGTGTTAAAAAAACCCTCGTTGTCAGGTGTTTTGTGCCTGGCGAACAAGGGAGCCGCGTCCATTCAGAGGTGTGGGCCGGGATTCCAAAGGTACGTGGGCCGGGAACTGCTGGAATGGGCTGCGGACTTCTTTAAGTGTCAGTGTTTTGGTGGTTAGGGCTGAGCATTCATGGGATTTTCATGCTATTTGAGCTCTTCCATGGTTCGAAATGGTTTTAAATCAGAAGCAAGGCCTGGTTGCTTTAGCAGATTAAACGAGACCCTCAATTCCTGCGAGCCGAGTGCTCTTCCAATAGAGGACATAATGCAGGAAGGAAGAATTTGCTGTAATAGTATGATTTCATTTGGTTCTAATGCAGTTACTTCAGAAACAAATATTTGACTAAAAAGATAGGAATTGACTGCTCACGGTGGAGACCTGGATAGCAGATGACATTTGTCATTTTGGAATATATGTGCTATAAACTGTTAAAGGAAAACTAGGTTTTTAGGTGCAGAATAAGGCCTTACATTGTCTTTGTTGCAACCAGTAGAAATTTCCAAAGATAAATTAATTCTGGATACTTAGTAGAAACATTTCTGAGGAAAATTGGTATTCAAATGGTTAGAATGCTTTGTCACTCTTAAAAACAAAAGTTAAAGGTCCTTACAGGTGACATATCTGTAATTCTTGCTATCAGAGAGGTTTTCCAGCACTTTAAATGCTTTTTCTCTTACCTTTGTTGGATAAAGGGGCTACCCTAGGCTGGGGGAGGACACAGAAAAACCTTTTTAGTCAAGATGATTTTTGCTGATGTGTAGTGATTGATAAGGACAGGTGGAGTCTTAGTTCATTTGATAAAGTGAACATCTACTTGTCTTGTGCAGTCATTCACAGTATGGAATCACTTCTGGAATTCATTAGTTGGGAAAGGCTGGGAGTGTACATTTTGCATTTCACCTTAGTTCAATAAAAGTGTGTAAGACACCAAGCTCCCTGTTTGAAAACTCTTGAAGTCCTGTATATTTACAAACCTGTTTATTTTTGTTGATGGTTGAAGCCCTGGCAGCTCCAGCTGTGGTTGTGTGTGGTACTGGGAGCCTGGGGGTGAACAACAGCCCACAGTGTTCATGTGTGTTTAGCGTGTCCTTTTAGAGTGTGGATGGGAACATTCTGACCTTTCAGAACTGTGTCTTTCATGAAGCAGTGGATTTTGTACAAGTGTATTAAGAGTGTGTCTTAACATGTCTGTGACTTGCACTTTATCTTTAAATTAATAACTTTGCCGACCTACATAACCAGATCAGTCGGAGCAGTTGACTTTCAGTGGAGGTGGTTGTGCTGCAGTAACATTGAGCTGGCAGCAATTGCTGCCTTTTTTTTCCAAGATGGAGAATCTTTCATTTCAGTTGCTTGTATTTCCTCTAATGGTGAGAACATTCTTTTGAGAAGATATGGGTGACAGTGTCCTCTGTCCTGACCTGACTGGTAAACTATGGAGGCTTGGATGTCAAGCAGTTTAAAAAATGGGGGGAAAAATGAGGGGGGAGTGAGGGTGGGATGGGGAACAGGAAGATTTGATTCACATATAAACAATGGGGATTACAGAGAGATGGGTTTGCCAGGGGCTGATGTTGTATAAGGATTTCCCCACAGCTTTACTTGTGTGCAGCCTCCTTTCAGTGAGTTTTATCACCAGATCTGTAGTGGTTTGGCTGTTTGTGTGTAGTAAGGTTGGGAACAGATTTATAAATGTGTATATTTAGTGATGTTGTACAGGATACATGTACATCATAGGGTCAGGAGAATTCCTTCCAGTCACAATCTCCCAAGTTTTGTCAGTGTAGGTGACAGTGATCCACTGGTTCCGAAGGCTCTTACAGAAAACACAATCTGCAGCCGAAGTCTTTACCTTGGGACCTTCCTTCAGGCTTAAGTATAAATTAGTGTTTTTCTTGGTGGGCTCCTCAGAGAACCCTGATGGAGCAGAAGGGAAAGAAGAAAGGAAAATGTTTTTTTCACTAATCCAGATTTTTGCTAACAAGATTATTTTGCTGTTTTATATAGTTCATGCTATTTGGAAAAGTGATTGCTATAAATTAAAATGATGTTTTCCTTATTAAGTGTTTACCAAGTGAAATCTGAGAGGGCTGGTTGGTGACTTTGCCAGCAAGAGGCAGTAAAAGCTATTTGCTTCTGTAATTTATTTTTTGCCAGTAAAGTGCTGTCCTAATAGTTGACTGCTCTTGGGTAAAATGTTTACTTTTACTCTCTGCCTCTTGGTTCCACTGGTGAAGAGTGGAGAAGTTTGCTGCATTGTCCTTCCCTCAGAAACTCGTAGATCTCCTTAGTTTACTATCAAAAAAAATCCCTTCCTTGTCACAGGTTTCCTGAAGAACAGCATAAGACTGTGCTAATGGTTCCTTTCCTAATTCTTACTTGCAAGGTTCTTGTTAGCAGTTGTGGCAAAGGTTGTCTTTTACTTTGCTCCTCAAAGCTTTATCAAGAAGTGTTTGCAAGATGACGCTGCGTGAAGAACAGTTATACACACCTCAAAGTCAAAAAGCCAGGGGGAATAAGAAATATTTTTTAAAATAATTTTTGGTGGCCATGTAACTTCTCTAGCTGTCTCTGGAAGCAGAAATCCTAATTAAGATCTTAACCTCCAATAAAAAATTACATTTTTTTCATTCTCTTATAAAGCTACAACTTTTCATTCCCAAGTTCATTGCTGTTATGTTTGTCTTGGAGTCCATTAAAGCCAAAACATTCCTGGTTGCCAAATCATAATGCTTGTGTCTAAAGGCCTTGATTTAGGTAGTGTTAATGTAGGTAACTGAGTTTGAGCTTGAGACAGAGCAGAGCAGTGTCGAGACTGAAGAATGTCCTTGTAAACACTGTGTTTGTCCAAGGTTGTGTCCATCAAGCAAAGCCACACACATTCCCTGCCGAGGTGGGATGTGCTGATGATGGAGCAGTGCTGGGATTTCTGTGGGTGCGTTATGGCCTTGGGGTGTCTCAGTTACTGTGGGACAGTCACCTGCTGCTTGTAGGACTGGGCAGGAGAACTCACTTGCTGCTTGTAGGACTCTGCAGAACTGCTCTTGGCCCCCCTGCTCATGTACGTGAGGCATTTCCAGGACATACTCTGTGCATTCTCTCTGTTCCAAATGGAGCAAGCCGTAGATCCTGTCCTGTGGAAGAGCTCTTCTGTTTGTAGCTGTCCTCTGCTGGATTCTGGTAAAACAAGGGAGAGACACTTCAATAGTCTCTCCGTGAGAATCCGGTGGTGTTAGATCTCGGAGTTGAACGGCAGTGTGGCATAACAGGGGCATTCTGTACCTGTCCTGTAGGTGGCCTGACATTTCTGCTGCAAGGTATGAATTGGCTTATGCATGAGGAAACAAACCTTGAAGGTCTCAGGAGTTTTTTTCAGGGATGAAATTAAGGAGGCTTTGCTGGTGCAGAGGATGGACATTGGTTGTTACAGTGCCTGACAGCACAGGTACTGTGGGCTGACTTCGAGGTGGCTTTGCCAAGGTTAGTGAGAGTACTACTGTACTTGAAGTAACGTTGTTTCACTTCAAGAGTAGCCTTTCCAAGCCAGTGATGGTTCCTGGAATTGGCTGCAGGGAGTGGATAAGCCTTCCTGCACTGCTGTGGCTCACGTAGTGGTAGCACCTCTCTGCAAAGCACAGTCAAACCATTCTGTCTGGGTGGACGTAAAGGACTGGCTTTGGGAGTATGCAAACAAGAACCTCTTTCCAGAACCTTATCATACAGTTAGTAACTAATACTGTGCATGTTGTTCTGCAGTACTGTACATTTCTGTAGGGCAAAAGAGAAGGATTCTGCTTGGAGAATTCTCAAGTAATTCTGTCATCCAAAAATTGGAGTCATCACTGTGGCCACATAAAAGCATAACAAGGAAATTGAGAGTGGTTTGCAATGGTATTTCATATTGTCCTGTGAATAAAGATATATTTGCCACATAATATCAAAGCAAACATAATGGAGTTTCTGATAGTTTTATATGTTTATATGGTGCTGTTTTATATAATGTATAGATTTTTAACTTTTTTAACTTTAAACTACTTTCTTTTAACTTTTAAACTTTTAACTTTAACTATTTTCTGGCAAAGATTAGAAGTATGCTAAAATTAAGTTGTTAAAACAAGCTTTAAAAGAGCACTGTTTGTCTCATGAAGAGGTAAAAATGAAGAACAACCAAAATGCAATGCAATAAAAGTTTCAAAATCTGATTGCACTTCTTGTCCTGATAGTGGAACTGAATATTGGGTATTTTTCTTCTTGCTACTTGCCCTGCATTGTGGAGGTTGTCCCTGCTTGATAGAAATGAAATGAATAGGGCGTGACTGGCTCTTTTAGGCTAATGAGTGTTGTTTTTGTGAACTGCTCAGTGAGTTCTTTATCTTTGTTGGAGCAGGGCATGACAGCACTGAGACTGGATCTTCATGGGATTGAGTTGGGGGTGCAGCTCCTGAAATGGCTCCCAAGTCTTGTGTCAGCCTCCAGTGCATCAGGGCTGGACACAAATGGGTCTTGTCTGGCTCCCTGCCCTGCAGATGGGGCAGTAGCAGTACTTGGGTTATCTCACTTTTGCTGAAGGCCTTGTATGAATTTTGTAAACCTTTTAATTTTCCTGTTTCTTGATGTATCTAATGGAAAAGCCTGGCTGAAAGCATAAGAATACATGTTTTTAATGAGAGCAAAGAAATGACGGTTTTCTAAAACAAGACTTGTATGATGCTTTTGTTCCTGGTCCTTTCTTTGAAGGCCATGTTTGCAGGTTAAAAAAAGTCCTGTGGTAGGAACAGGATACACAGTGCATACCAGACCTTAACAGTGAGGTTTGTCATGAGTTTAACAGCACCAGTATTGCCTTGTTAGAGTCAAAATAACGTTCAAAGTAAAATCTGATACAAACCACATATTAGGGAAGGGAATTAACTTTAAAAGTTAGTTGTCAGTTCAGTGACCATATGCAAAGAAAACAAGAATTAGGACTGAATAAAGGAACTACAAATGCAAGGACATGGCTTCTTGATGGTGAAGGGAGTTGACTGTGTTTTAAAATGTAGTTGAAGAT